GCCCCCGGCCAGTGTAGACAGGCAGCAAGATTTTGTGCAAAATCTTGGCAGTCTAGACACACCCTAAAAGTTTCAACATGGTCTTTATTTATGGTGGGACGGGGAACCTTTTTTGGGTTGGCAGCCACTAAGCTTGGGTGAGGAAGGCAGTCGTGACATGAGGCATGGGGTTGGGGTGCAGGGGTTTGGATTATGACCTAGAGCAGGGAAGTGGAGTGCAGGGTCAGGGAGGGGTTATGGGCTCAGGAGGGGGGCAGAGGGTTTGGGTTATGTGGAGTACAGGGGCAGAGGGCTGAGGTGCCAGAGGCAGGCTCTGGCTGGGAGACATACCAGTGAGACTCCCAGGCAGCAGCCCAGCACTTTCTCAAGAGCCTGACCTGCTCCTGCACAGGCTGCAGGGCCATGTGCTCTGAATAAGAGCCTGAGGGGTGTGGGGGATGGGTGCTTCATGCACTGCCTGTTCCTGAGACAGGCAGCTTCCATTGGCCAGAAACCAGCCAATGGGATTGTGCTGGGGGCAGGAGCAGCTCATGAAGCACCACTGCCCCTTCCCCCTGTTCTTGTAAAAACAAGTGGCTGACAGATGCCTTTCTGAGTGGCTTGCAGGGGTGGGGCAAGCAGGGGAGTCTGTGATGGGGGAGAGGATCCCTGGTGTAGGGGGAGCAAAGAGGGGCTGGGCTTGAGCTTCAAAAGACCCATATCTGGCTCCCTAGTGAGCCATATTTGGCTTGCAAGACATAATCCACTAGATTATGCAGGTGGATAAGCTCATTGGCAGATGGGGGCATAAGTTTGTCCTGTCTGGAATTCATTTAACATGGCTTCTGAGAGCCATTTGGTTAAATAAGTATATGTATCCCCATAAGTTACATTGGTTGAAGTTCTCTTGCCTTTCCATAATTACATGCAGCACCTGAGATTGCTCCCCATGGCTGAAATTAGTGGGGAAAAATGTTTACTTTGTGGATTTGACATTACTTAGTTTGTTATGGGTGTCACTATCCTTCCTTGTTTTGAGGGACTCTCAAAGATAAACACTTAAAAGAACAGAAGTGTGGGAGTGTCGAGCTATAGATCTAGTAGGGTTCTTTGTCAGGCAAAATAATAGTTTCTGTACTTCACACTAAAAAAGCCAAAGATTAGATGTCAAGTTGACATTGTACCACTTTACTGTACTCTATTACTGATGGCAAGATCCTTTTCTTCCTAAATTGATCCTTTGCTTTGCAGTTTCTCTTGGGTTCTTCGATGATATTATCATCCCTCCAGAGTCCCTGCAGCAGCCAGCTAAGTTGTATCCTTTAATCATCTGTCACATTGATTTTTTTTTTTAAATAAAGGAGGGAAGTGGCTAGTTTTTAATTATCACCTTAAAACCTTGCATGCCCCACACTGTATAAAGAAGCTCAGTGGCAGCAGCTGGAGCATCATGCCTGGTGCAGTGTCACATTTAAACTAACCCACCAAATGGGTCTTGTTGGGTTACTCTGCCACCTACTAGAAATGAATGGCAAAGTCACCTGAACAGCTGGCTTTTTTCCTACATCCTAGAGCGGCATGGTCAATCATTTTTGATGGGGGGCCACTCCAAGATTTTGGAAAGAGGTTGAGGGCCATACTTATCCATGGTATTAATGGAGGAGGTGCAGGGTCTGGGATGGAGGTTGGGATAAGGATTGAGGTGCAGGAGGGAGAATGGAGTCTGGGAAGGAATTTGGGTGAAGGAGGCATTTGTGGCCTATGGCAAGGGACTGGGATGCAGAGTTTGACTGTGACCTAGGGTAGGAGAGGATTGTGATCTCCGGCAAGAGATAGGGATGCCAGATCTGGGAGGGGCTGGGGTGCCAGAGGCAGGTTCTGGCCAGTAGCCAAGCCAGCCTGCTTGCAGAGCTTAAAATGTTTCTGCCTGCTTGGCCATGTGCTTCAATGAGTAACTGAACAGGAGGGAGGGCAGTTGTGCTTGGTAGCTGCCTGTTATTCATACAGGCAGTTTTCATTGACCAGTTTCTGGCTAAAAACTGGCCAATGGAATTGTGTTTGGGGGCAGGAGCAGCATCTGAATCTTCTCCCCTCCTCCTCATAGTTTTTAAAGAGAGAGCTCCCCACAGCTGGGTTCTGAACCATGTGGGGTTTTAGAGCTATGGTGCAGTTTGAGAAGTGGGTGAAGTGTGAATCCTGCATTCAAACAATGAGCCTCCTACCTTGAGGCTCTCGGGGAGAATGGTCTGTTGAGTGGGGAAAATCACTGAAGTTTCACAATCTGTTTTACTGCCTTGACTCTTGAACTGGCCAGCGATGAAGCAGAGCAGGTCTGGGTGTGGGAGTACGAGACAGAAGAAGGGGCTCATGACCTGTACATGGACACAGGGGAGGAGATCCGCTTCCGGGTAGTGGATGAGAGCTTTATTGACACATCCCCAACAGGTCCATGCTCCACAGAGGCCTCCACCTCTGGTGCCACAGAGGAGGTGCAGAAGAAGGAGGCACCCTACACTCTTGTGGTAAGTATGTGTAATTCACACTGCATTGAAGAAGGCTGTGGCATTTTAAAGAGACAGTCTCCCTTCCCCAAGTAGCTTACCCTCCAAATCAGAGAGAATACTGTAAAGGATGACAAAGGTGAGGGATGAGGTTGAGCTCCACTTTATTAAATATGTATCTGGTGTTTGTCAGTGTAATATGTTGGTATGGAGTTCTGAGGAGGGGCTGAAAGTTGAATGAGGTTGCCTTGTGCACATGGAACAGAAGCGCACCTAGTGCTGCACAATAACCTTGTGCCCAACCATCTCTTCCCCCAAAGAACTTACAATTTAAAGGCCTGTGCACAGCAGAAAGGCAAGACTCTAAATTAGTGCTGTCACTCCCTAACACTGCACCTTATTGAGCAGAAAGGCAAGACTCTAAATTAGTGCTGTCAGTCCCTAACACTGCACCTTATTGAGTGGCCTATTTTGTCTAGGCCTGTGATTCTTTGCCTTCAAGTGACACTCTGCCCCAAAACAATATGAGCCAGGTCCAGAGAAGGCTGGACCTCTGAGGGTTATTGTGAGACAGGGAGGAAAGAGGAGGATTCCAATAGAAACCCCAGATATTCTCCCCTCTTTTAAATACCCAGTTGATTGCTAAGTTGGATCAAAGATTCACTTCTGGCTATTTACCTCTGAACTTTCTTAAATTCTCATCTCCTTCTTTTGCCTTCTCTCTGGACAGGGATCCATCAGTGAGCCTGGCCTGGGCCTCCTCTCGTGGTGGACAAACAGTTAGCAGCAGTCAGAACTTGCTCTGCGTGGAACCTATGGGATGGATGCTTTCAGGGATTGCAGGAGTCATCTGGTGCATCACTTCCCTCTGGACATTGAACAAGAATGCAGGGATTCCATGTTACTGTCTTTGCTCCCCACCAGGTTGAGCTGGCATCTGTCAAGAAATACCTCCATTACAACTGTACAAGTGAAGCTACAGGCACATAAGCCCAGCAGCCACAAACTCATCTGGGACTTTATCTAGGATGTCAGCAGAATTGGGGTCAAATGCCAAAGTCAGTCTCTGCTGTCTTGGAAAAAAGCAATCTAAGTTAGTGTAGTGGCAGGTCAGGGGGCTGCTGTCTGGCCAGAAGAAACTGGTCATTTCCTACCACACCTAGTCTCGAGAGATGTAATTAAGTATAAGCAAGAGTCTGTCTCCTTAACACAGAAGAGGGACATGCTGCTTTCTCAATAGGAGAGGAAACTGCAAAGTATGGAAGAGATGCACTGGCTCTTAAGCCATTGTAAACCCTGGTGCTGAAAGGATGGGGAAGGCTCAGAGCTGTGGCAGGTATGGGGATACCACCTGTAGAGGAGGATTCACTGCACTATGAGGGAATTGCAGTTCTATTATGTGAATTGCTACAATGATGGAAGGATGTCTGCTTATTAGGAAGCAATTTAGCTGGTGTTTTTAATCCTTTGCTGTCTTCTGAAAGCAACTCCCTGAGATGATGCTGGAGTGAGATGCTCTGTTACAGTGGATGCCCTGTGGTCTGATGCAAAATAAGCTCAATTCTACTGGTGGCTTGACTGAAAACTTTTTTTTAAGAGGAAAAAGAGACCCTAGTGCTGGGTAAGGCCATGCTTCCAGTCCCTTATGGGGGAGGGGCAAGACTAGTATTAATACTAGATGAATACATGTTAATTCCTAGCCACACACAACCCAGCCTCCTGCAGCTTGGGTGACTTGCTTCATCTTAATGCAGATACTTTCTGGCATTTAGTTAAGAGAAGCAACATTAAACATGCAGGGCCTAGAGCCAGCATGATGTGTTATGCATGATTAAATAGCAGCCATTTTAGGGGGCTAGAATGCTATTGGATGTTACTACTGCTGACCTCAAAGTATGAAAGCAAAGCTTAAGTCACTGGAACCATTCCTACAGTATAATTTCAGCCCTTTAATTCTAAGCATGGCTACTGCTGGTTTAGATTTTAATCAAAGCAGTCTAGAATTCATCTTGTCTCAGCCATCCGAGCCCATCAAGTTCCATCTATGCTGTTGCCAAGTTTCTCTAATGTAGTACTGACCAAACATTGCTTGTCATTCTAACAGGGCTGCTAATGGGAAAGAAAAGTAGGGTATTTTACAGAACTTCCTAGCCTGGAGTACAGGAAAAACAGATTAAGCATGTACTAGGAATAGGCTTCAAAGAGAAAATGCTCTTCACCCACTCCTCTCTGTAGTTTAAGGGACATTGGCTATATGAAAACTATGGAATCCAAGCAGTCTAACCAATAAAAAACTACTGCTGCTGTTTGTTCATGGCCACATGCAGTGAATGAAACTGAGCAAGTTACAGCCCTGCCTGTGCTGTTTTACTTCCTCTTCCTCTTTGAGTTCTAATGCTAGATTGGTAAGTCACAGGTAGGTTATGCACAGTAAGTTAAACTCACAGGGCTCAGTGTCCCACAGACAGGGGCTGGTGCCCTGCCATGCTGCTGCCTCTAATAGAGGCAGCAGGGTCTGTGTGGGGAGCTGGTTTTTAAACTGACTCCCCTCAAGGAGAAGCTCTCCCTACCAGCCTGCACTGCTGCCTTGGATACAGGAGTAAGAGAGGGCTCCCCACAAACTGGCCCAGGAATACACAGGTTCCCCCCAGGGCCAGGAGCCAATCAAATAATCATGGAACAGATAAGACTTGTTACAGTTCCATGATTATTCAAGTAAAAATTGAACATCCCTAGTGGATAGAGAACAGGTGATGCTGGTGGGGGAGTGGCACTACATGAAAGAAAACAGAAAAAAATGACGGGGAGTGGCACTACATGAAAGAAAACAAAAAATGAACCAAATATCTTAAATGAACCAAACTTCCACACAATCTCTATAGATAATTCAAAACTAATATAGCAATAGGAATTTATTACTGACAGTGACTGCAAAATGCCAAGGAGGATGAAGCTATAAAAACAAAATGGGGGATTTTAACTATCCCCATATTGGCTGGGTATGTGTCACCTCAAGAAAATGCATCTCTGCATTCCATCCTTAAATGACTGCTTCTTGGAGCAGCTGGTTCTGGAACCCACAAGAGGCAATTCTTGATTTAATCATAAGTGTCACCTAGGATCTGGTCCAAGTGATGAACATAGCTGGACAGCTTGGAAATAGTGACCATAATTATATTTAACAGCATGGGCGGGGGAGAGGAACAGCCCAACACTTCACCATGTAATTTCAGGAAGCAGAGCTACACAAAAATGAGGTTAAACAGGCAATGCCAGAAGTGAAATCCCTGAAAAGCACCATAAAGGCTCAAATTAAATTTATACCCCAAATTAACAGCCAAGTAAAAGAAACAGTAAAATAAAAAGGCATTTAAAAAGTGGAAGTTAAATCTTAATTCAGAAAATAGTATTGTCAAATGGGCTATGTCTACACTGGCATGAATTTCTGAAAATGCTTTTAACAGAAAAGTTTTCTGTTAAAAGCATTTTCGGAAAAGCGCGTCTAGACTGGCAGGATGCTTTTCCGCAAAACCACTTTTTGCAGAAAAGCGTTCGTGGCCAATCTAGAGGTGCTTTTCTGCAAAAAAGCCCCGATCGCCTTTTTCATGATTGGGGCTTTTTTGTGGAAAACAGTACTATGCTGTCTACACTGGCCCTTTTGCGTAAAAGTCTTTCGGAAAAAGACTTTTGCCCGAACAGGAGCAGCATAGTTTTTCTGGAAAAGCACTGATGATTTTACATGAGATCGTCAGTGCTTTTCTGGAAATTCAAGCGGCCAGTATAGACAGCTGGCAAGCTTTTCCGCAAAAACAGATGATTTTGCGGAAAAACTTGCCAGTCTAGCCACAGCCTTGAAGTATACAAATATTAGGAAATTTGAAGAACAGCTAGCCAAAAACTCAACAGCAAAACTTAAGTAGATCAGAAACAGGAAGCCTGTTGAACAACCAGTGTGACCACTGGATGAGCAAGATATTAAAGGAGCACTCAAGGACAATAAGGTCATTTTTGATAAATGAAATTAATTCTCTGCATTGGTCTTAACAGCTGAAAATGTGAGAGTCCCAAACCTGAGCCATTAAGTGACAAATCTGAGGAACTATCCCAGATGGAGGTGTCATTAGGAGGTGGTTTTGGAACTAAAACTAAACTGTAATAAGGCACTAGGACCAGATGACATTCACCCAAGAGTTCTGAAAGAACTCAGTGTGAAATTGCAGAATTGCTAGTTATGGTTTGTAATCTAACCTTTAAATCATCTTCTGAACCAAATGACTGGAAGATAGGTAATATGAAAGTCACTTTTAAAAGATGACTGGAAGATAGGTAATATGAAAGTAACTTTTAAAAGACTATAGAGGTGATCCTGGCAATTACAGGCTGATCAGTCTAACTTCAGTACCAGGCAAACTAGTTGAAACAATAGTAAAGAATATAATTCAGACAAATGAAAATAAATGAGGAAGAGTCAACATGGGTTTCTGTAAAGGGAAAAGTCATGCCTTAACCATTTTACTAGAATTCTGAGGGGGTCAACAAGGATGTGGACTGGGGGGAGGGGAGAGAAAAATGAATTCTGAGGGGGTCAACAAGGATGTGGACCGGGGGGGAGGGAAGGGGAGAGAAAAAAAATCAGCGGATATAGTGTATTTAGATTTTCAGAAAGCCTTTGACAAGGTCCCTCACCAAATGCTCTTAAGCCTAGTAAGCTTTCAGAATGAGAGAGGTAACTAGTGGTGTCCCACAGGGGACTAATCCTACTGAACATATTTATAAATGGTCTGGAGAAAGGGTTAAACAGTGAGGTGGCAAAATCTGCAGATATAAAACTGCTCAAGATAGTTAAGTCCAAAGCAGACTGAGAAACTTCAAAAGGATCTCACAAAACTAGGTGATTGGGCAACAAAATGGCAGATGAAATTCAATGTTGATAAATGCAAAGCAGTATTGTTGGAAGAGATTGTTTTCCAATATGTATGTATAAAATGGGGCCTAAATTAGCTGTTCCCACTTGGGAGATCTTGGAGTCATTATGGTTAGTTCTCTGAAATCATACACGCAGTGTGCAGCAGTAATCAAAAAAGCAAACAATTTTGGAAATTATTAGGCTAGGTAGAAAATAAGACTGGCTGCATCTATATAAATCCATTGTACACCCACATCTTGAATACTGTGTGTAGATGTGGTCCCTCAAAGGTATCTTGGCATTGGAAAAGGTTCTGAAAAGGGCAACAAAACTGATTGGGATGTGGAATGACTGCCATATGAGGAGAGATTAACAACACTGGGACTTGTCACTTTGGAAAAAGACAAGGGAAGGATATAAGAGGTCTAAAATCATGACTGGTGTAGAAAAATAAGAGTAGTTTACTCAAACAAGTACCAGGGGTTTAAATAAATAAAAAGAACTTCACATAACGCAATCAATCTGGAACTCCATGCCAGAGGATGTTGAGAAGTTCAAGACTAACAGGCTTCAAAAGTAAAGACGTGTTATTTACTTCTTAATATAATGCAAGAAGCCGGGATGATGTTGAGAAGTTCAAGACTATAACAGGCTTCAAAAGAGAGCTAGATAAGTTCATGGAGGATAGGTCCATCAATGGCATCCCTAGCCTCTGACAGAAATTGGGAATAGGTACAGAGAATGGATCACTTGATTAGTGCCTCTTCTGCTCATTCCTTCTGAAGCACCTGGCATTGGCCACTGTCGGAATACAGGATACTGGACTAGGTGGGCCTTTGATCTGACCCAGTGTGCCCATTCTTTTGTTCCAGGGGAAAAAGATTCCCCCCCCCCCCCCCAAGCCACTTCTCGGCGGGCCGACCGCTGGAGCGTTCGGGG